TAATCAAAGGAAAGTATGGATAATATACCTGAAGGTACATATGTATTATTTTAATAAAAGAACCCAAAATCGTTATATAAGTTTATTATTTATTTGTGAATTGTTTTTGTGAAGTCCCTAGATCTGGATAACGCGGTCTTACACACTTGTGAATTGTGGACTATCTTTTCGTCAAGTTGCACCTAATTCTGTGTTTTTTTTTAAATATAATTAAATGTAAGTAGGCACATTTAATTATAGTTGAAAAAAATTATAGTGATACTGCGTTTGTGCTAAAGAAATCTCTGCTCTCTGAATGCGGGCCAAGTGAGATAAAAAGAAAGTATTTTGCAGCAGAGCCTACACCACTCTCACCTGATAAAGCTTTTAATTTTCTGATTGAACACTCGTTAAGCAAAAATAAATATAATGAAATGCGATCTCTATCAATAACACAAAATTCTGATATATTTCCTAGCTGTGGTCAACTGCAAAAAGGGAAATTGCAATGATAAAAAATGGTTAAATGGTTAAACTGTGGTTAAAGTGTCCATACAAGAAATGTGTAATCATACTGCCAGCCGCATCTTACCCATACAAGACGACGTTCTTAGAAACTTAATTGATATTACGAACTTTAAGTTAATTGTTAAAATGGCTTCGATAGTTCGACCGGACAAAACATGTAATATTAACTGAAGTCAACAGCCGAACGGCAATGTCCGATTATTTAAAAGCTCGCTCTGGCCAAACTGCTGACACAGCGTCTGGCCGCATGCCCATGCATAGCCGGCGAACACTGCATATTTGCGTGGCCGCTATGAAATACATTTTTTTTTAGCTTAAAGTTTCAGTTTGTATCAGAACGTCACTCAATAAAATGGACTTAATTCCAATACTCCGGCACAGCCGTTAAAGTCAATTCATATATTAAACATTGGTTACCATGCCTAAGGGCAATAGCAAAGAAGTTAGTAACTCCCACCATAACTTCCATTTAAGAAGGAAGTTAAGTTGACTTCCTAGTGCCAAAAATATAACAAAATATCAATATATCTTATAACGAATCGCGTAGTAGCAGTGTAATCATATATGACCGTTAAGGAAAGGCGTGGACGCGCATACTTCAAATTTTATGTAAGTATTACACTAACCCGGAATAACAAAATCTTCAAGTTTCAGCTCTGTAACACCATTTTTGGATTTTATGCCAAAAATTTTCCGATTTTGCCCAATAAGCAGTGTGAACGTATATTCCCAATTGGTGCAATGAAATTGGCACTAAAATATGGTTGTTTTGGTAATCGCAAAAATTTTGCGATTTTGCCCAATGTGCCCATGATTATGAATTCCCATGAAATGGCAAATTTGGTCGTATTATTATGGTCGTATTATTTTGCCAAAAATAGCTCTCAATTTGAACTCTCTAACTCTAAACACACTGAAGTTATACCATTTCCGATCATTCAGTTATATGGCAGCTATAGTCGGACAGACGGACATGCTTATATCAACTCAGGAGGAGATCCTGATCAAGAATGTATATACTTTATAGGGTCGGAGATGTCTTCTTCACTGGGTTGCACACTTTTGACCAAAATTATAATACCCTAATACCCAGGATCACCTCCTGAGTTGATATGAGCATGTCCGTCTGTCCGTCTGTCTGTTTCTACGCAAACTAGTCTCTCAGTTTTAAAGCTATCGTCTTGAAACTTTGCACACACCCTTCTTTCCTTTGCACGCAGTATATAAGTCGGAACGGCCCGGATCGGACGACTATATCCTATAGCTGCCATATAACTGATTGATCGGAAATGGTATATGGCAGAAATATCAACTTTCGTATTTTTGAAGATAGATGCTTGGCATTTTTTTTTTAGATTTTTTATTTTAGGTAATTTGTTTTATTATGATGTAATCATAAAAATCGGCTAACCATATCCGGTGTTTGCGATATATATCCGGTTTCAACTGCAAGGGTATATCAACTTCGGCTCCGCCCGAAGCTAGCTTTCTTTTCTTGTTTATTGTAATTAATTGCGTTTATTATGATTTTCTCATTAGGATCGGCTAACTATATCCGATGTGTGCGATATATATCCGGTTTTATCTGTAAGGGTATATCAAATTCGGCTCCGCCCGAAGTTTGGTTTCCTTTTTTGTTTGGGGTAATTTGTGTATAGGCTGTTAAGTGGGGAGCAATTTTAATGAAATTTTAAGGGCATATTCTCAAAATAATGGGCTATAAGCTGGTGTATCGAGCTTGTTGGCGCATTGTCTAGTTTCTGTGATAAGGCCTAAAACAATATGTGGCAATTTTTCAAACACAATGTTAAGCTACTTAAAGAAAGAACAAACAATAATTCATTTAATTCGTTACAATTGTAGTGATATTTGATGAAATTTAGTGGCGAAATACTTAAATAAATAATAAAATTTAAGCATAGTACTGAGTTGACGAAAATCCGCTGTTGAAAATCCGATAACGTTATCGCACTTTATTCAGCTATCGAGCTAGTGTAACCAAAAAAATTAAGAAATAAGGTAATACTGAACAGCTGTTGTTTGTAAACAAAAAACCAATAAGCAAAATGAATTCAAATCAATTTGATGTTGGTGTTTTGTTGATGTATCTCGCCGCTAAGGAGCTGATTAAGAAAAAGAAAACTGGGTCAAAATCAAAATCAATCAAAAATCATTTCAATGCCATTTTATGGCATTAAAATGCTCCATGTGGGTCAAATCCCATATTATGGGCTTCGCCTTGACCGCAGAAATTAATTTTAATTTGTCCTGGCGCGTCGAAAATTTTTCGGGCCGACTATTTTTTTGTTTTAACAATTTTCCCTCCATGTTTCACCTAAAGAAATAAATAAAATTATTTCTTTTAACTCCCCGAGATCAGCGGTTTATTTATTTTGATCCGGCAACACCATTGAAATCGATAACAAGATTTTCGTCAACTCAGTACCCGCAAAATCTAGAAAGCAAAAATTTCTTCTTCTTCCTTTTTTTACACCGTTTTTTTATATGGAGTTTGACAGCTGTCACTCGTTCGACAGCGGATTTTCGTCAACTCAGTACTATGCTTTAAAATCAAAAATTTACGTTGCTGTTTTTTTTTTCTTTTTTTTTTTTACCGGTCTTTCAGAATTCGGAAATGGCTTGTGCATCAATGAGAGCATCAGCTAGCATTCCTATATTCATCATAAAGCTTAGAGGCCCAGACGACCGAGGGGCGCTCAAGAAACGATTTGTTAGAATATATTAAGTTATTTGTTAATTATTAAGCTAAGAGGAGTTAGTAAGGAAATTTAAAATTCTATATTTTAAATTAGAGGGACAGGAAAGAGATGTAATAGAGTAGAGACCATTGTAGTTCGAACATAATACCCTAAAAGGGTCATGCAGTGCATATGTCGAACTACAACGGCTAAGGAACAGAGGACTAAAGTTTCGAGTCCTTCTATTAGGAATGTTAAATTTTTAGCGTGTTAGTAAATGCTGGCTATCTACATCCCCATTAATAAGGTTATGCAGAAAAACTACACCGAGCATTGTCCTACGATTTGTTAAGCTAGGTAAGTTTATGAGTAAGAGTCTACTACTATAAGATGGAAGTTGAAGATTTGCATCCCAGTTTAGACCTCTAAGTGAAAAAGTTAGGAAATTCTTTTGTACGGATTCTATGCGGTCCTGATGTACTCCATATTGGGGACTCCAGACACATGAACCGTACTCCAGTATAGGACGGACCAATGAAATGAATAGTGTTTTGGTATACCCCTATATAGGGTCATTAAATTCTTTTGACCACCTTTTGATAAAACCAAGGACTCCTTTAGCCTTATTAACCATTAAGGAAATATGGTTGGCAAATTTAAGTTTGATGTCTAATAGGATGCCGAGATCATTAACCTGGGTTAATTTTTCTAATGCAATCCCATTAAAATCATTTCAATGTCATTTTATGGCATTAAAATGCCCCATGTGGGTCAAATCCCATATTATGGGCTTCGCCTTGACCGCAGAAATTAATTTTAATTTGTAGAATAAGTAGCTTGCAGAGGGCAAGAACGATAAAAAGACATATGTTTGCATTTAGATCCATTAAGTATTGGATCATTAGCTAAACACAATTTTTGAAAGTTATCAAGGTCAGACTGAAGACTGCATTGGGCAGAGATGGATTTGTACTGAAGACAAAGCTTTACATCATCTGCATACATAAGAACAAGAGAGTTCGTTAAAGCAGGGGGCAAGTCGTTTATAAAAAGCGTAAATAATAACAGGCCAAGATGACTTCCTTGAGGGACGCCGGATGTAGCACGGACCAGACGGGACTGAATGTTTTTAAATAAAACTCTTTGTGTCCTTCCATCTAGGTAGCTGGAGATCCACGTTAAGAGGTCTTTAGGAAAACCCAGCATATTCAGTTTACTCAACAAGAGTGAGTGATTAACTGAATCAAATGCTTTGCTGAAGTCTGTGTAAATTACATCGGTTTGATATCCCTTACAAAAGCCATCTATGACAAAGGATGTCAACTCCAATAAGTTTGTGGTGGTGGAGCGACGCTTAATAAAGCCATGCTGACAAGGAGTGATGATCGAAGAGCAAAGGTGTTGCAAATGAGGGCTAATTAATTTTTCAAATAACTTTGGAATTGCCGACAACTTAGATATGTCTCTGTAGTTGGCAGCCTCGGACTTTTTCCCTTTTTTCCTTCATGATTCCTTCCACTTAAGGGGAAAAATCGAGGCTTCCAAAGACAAGTGGAAAAGTTTTCGAAGAGGTTTGCACAGAGCCCTGGCGCAGTATTTTAGCACACAGCCTGGTACTCCGTCGGGGCCTGGCGAATAAATGGGTTTTACCCTTAAAAGACCAGATAATAAGTTGTTCTCAGAAAAAGACGGACAGAAAATAAGATTTGCTGCTTGAATGTTGCTGAATGCTGTGATACAATTCCACCGTTCCGCTTCGACCCTAACTGAGCGACGCTATTGTGACGGACATTCGGAGTACGGGATGACGAAAAGACCGTCAAAAACTATTTTTCAGGTATTTGCCTCTCGCTTACTCCCAGAGCTGAAAAAATTTTTTGTCAATCTGAGTGCTAGTAAATTGTACATTGTGGGCTTTAAATTAAATACTCTATTCTGAAATATGAATATAAATACGCCACTCAAATATAGAGTGCCCAGCTCAGTGTGTTTTTTTTTACCTTTTTCACGATAACACTTTTATCGTACCGAATAATACAATGCGAATGCAAATAAGGGAACCAAAGACAATTAAATAAGATTTCAAGAAGCCAATAAATTCCAGAAAATTAACCATACAACCGGAACATTAAATCACTTATCCAAGGTAACTTTATTTTCATATATGTATGTGCATACGTATAAATATATTCAAACAAAACTCCAATGTTATCTTTTGTTATTCATACTTGTGTATAAAAAGCGTGAATAAAAAAATATAACAAATGGTCAAATCTTAGGTACTAATACTACTCGTAGATACTAGGTACTAGTTAGGCTCAATTATAATGAATTAAGATCAAAATAAAAGACAACAAATTCGTCTTACTAATTTCTTTTAAGAAAATTCTTTTCATTAAATTTAAGCGCACAATTGTACAGCTTGATTTTAAATTATTTTTTTCTGTTTTCTTTCCAAATTTGTATACCTTTAGGACAAAAAAAACTAGAGTTGAAAGAATAGGATCAAAGAATCAAGGGACAAAATTGAACATTTTTTATTCAAAATATATATTTATATATACATATACATATACATATACATATATATACATACATACATAGTTATATTTGGATGTAATCTCTTCTACATTATTCCAGCACCGATTCCGGATTTTTTAAAATTTACCATTACTAATGAGGGAGGAGACCCTTGAAAATAAAGTCTACATAAATTGTCAATGTCACATGTGTGTATTACTGAAATAGACCACATAAAAATAGGCACTCAAACTTGTAATTTCAATTTCCATCTTAGCAAAAAGAAATAAATATCAGCCTTTGTTGCACCCTTTGAAGGTTACCCCAACTTTCGATGTACAGTGATGGTCTTGGTGAGCAACGAATGGCCAAATAAGGATGACGAGCAGAAGCCAGATGCCTCATCAACGACGCCAGCGCCATCAGTAATCGAAGTAAACGAGGTGATTGCTGTCGCAGCTACACCCACAAGTGATATTCTTGAAACAAGTAGAGCTACAATCAGCGTTGTAGCAGCAGCGATTGGAAAGCGTAAAAGAGCTCAGCAACCCAGTATCATGGATACATTAAATATAAAAACTCCTGAGCAGGATCAGTTATTTCAAATAATGGAGAATAAGTACGAAATCGAAACTGCATTCAGCAACAAAGCCAATGCCAATGAAAGCCATGGACACAACGACATTCAAGTCTGCGATTCAAATACTAACACTTTACAAAATACTAGTAGCCAAGATGCTCAACGATCTCTTCAGCTTTCCCCAGTCGTTTCGCCACATCTGCTCAGCTCTGTGAATGCAAATACGTCCATGATAGGATCTCCGGGGGCGAGCAACCTTTTTGGTTCAATGGGCGGACTTAGTAATTGTGCCATAAATCGAGAGCCACCATCGAACTGTGGTTCGTTTATAGTTGCCCCCTCACCATCTGCAGTCATTTCCGATCTAAATATAGACTCTGAAATTCCTTCTTCTGCAGCCTCAGGTGATGCAAAAATTGTCCTGCAATGTGAAGCCAAATCGCATAAATTTGAGACGCGTTCCATACCTTTACAACCAAATCAGGAGTGCAAGGTAGGGCGCCTCATAGCAAAAAGCAAGGCCAGTGAAGGAAACGCTATATTCGACTGCAAGGTTTTGTCACGAAACCACGCTATGCTTTGGTACACTGCCGATGGTCGATTTTGGGTAAAGGATACAAAGTCGAGTAATGGTACTTTTATCAACGACAACAAGTTGGGCAATGACCCAGCTGAATTACACTACGGAGATATCGTTAAGTTCGGCGTAGAGGTAATCGAAAACTCACGACAGGAGGTTCACGGTTGTATTATTGCCCGTGTGACCTTGTTTTTGCCAGACGGAAGGGAAGCCATTTCGTTTGAATCAGACCAGCTTCAATTGACGGGGCCAAATCGTATTAGCCTCGATGAGATTCAACGCCTTAATTCATTTCTTCAGGAGGCCGCGCAGAGAGAAAAAACTTTGAAGGCCAAACTGAGCAGCTTGCAAGGCGTTCTTGACTCTACCCGAAAGAACTCTGCCATGTGTTGGCAGAGTATGATTACAGAAGACCAGTTGCTTCATAAAATTAATTTGCTAGAAAAGAAGTTACAGGTAATGGAAAAAAACGTGCCGGAGAATGCTTTGCGTAACGAGGTAAGCAGGGTAGTTTTTATTTAAGTTACAAATTAAATATTTATTTTATTTATAGGTTGTTAAATTACTTGAGGACAAGACAACATACCAATTAACCGCTAAAGAGGCTCTAAGAAAAGTTTATCAGGAGCGCTGCGATGCTATGCAAATGCTATCCAAAATGGAAATGGCTTACACTACTTCAGAAAACGAGTGCGGAATACTACGTGCACAGATTCTTACATCGAAACAGACCATGCAGGACTTTAATGTTCGGCTTGAGCAGCTTCAGCAGGAATATGTGGAATATAAACAGGAATCTTTGCGCCAACAGCATAATGCTAAGGAACAGGAAGAAACCCGTTTTGAGATGCTCAAAAATAAGATGGTAGAACAAGAACGGCAAAAGGAAGAATTATGTCAGCAGATCACGCGACTACATCAAGCTATTGCCGAACATGACAACGAACAGAAGCAACAGGAGAAAAATGTTCTGGAGCAACTGGATGCAGTTATACTTGCTGATGATGAGCTCGGTGATGATGAATTAATCGATGAGAATGATAATCCAGAGAATTCTTTTAAAATGTCAATGGCAGCACATGATTATAATAAAACATCTATTGACGCTCAGGAAAGTAAAATAAAGGTAAATATTATTTGTGTTTTATATATAATATTCAAATATGATCTATTAATTAAACCCTACAGGAACTCAAAAAAAACGAAACCCGCAAATCTAGCGTGATGAAATTGTTAAAGAACTCGGATCTTAGCAAGGGGGAAGGTAGTACCGCTGTCCTTAAAGCAATTTTTGACGCTGAAGATGACTTAGAGGTGGACGCTAAAAACATAAAAGGACAAGATGAATTTCATGCATCGGAAATTTTATTTGAGCCCAATGCAGGCTTATTAATTGATTCAGCGGCAGTTACTAACGATGAATTTACTCACAATCCATCAAACTACATAGGGCTCAATAGTGTTGATGAATCAAAAGAGGATAAACTGAGCCCCATTGTTAAAAATTTATCGACTCAAAATACCCTCGTAAGCGAAGAGGATAAAGTATGTATTTCGCCTGGACTTCCCACCGATCAGGCCCTTGAAATGCTCCAGGAAGAATGCGAAGCCTACAAGCAGAAAACAGTTCTGCTGACGGACGATATTTGCTTTATGCACGACCAAATTGAGCAACTTAAAACCATGCTGGAAAATGAGATTAAAAAAAATTCCGATAGAGACTCAACACTGAACTTGAATAATATTCATAGACGCTCACCTAGCCAACAAGACAACAATGTAGAAGGAACTGAACAGAATTGGTATGAAGAAACCACGGGCATAATCAATCCTCAGGAAGATAGAGAAGAGGAGCTGGTAGTTTACAAGGAAAAACTAGAAGAGTCGGAAACTAGCAATATGCAGCTTCGCAAAGAAATATTACAGCTCCGACTTAAACTAATTCCTCACGGGAACCAAGTGCTAATGCATAGAATCCTGCCGATTGGCTGTGTAGCTTTTGCTGCACTTCTATACTTTATTTTCAATCGTATTTAATCAACTCGAAATATTATATATAGTTCTGGGATGTTGATTTCGATGCAACATAAAGTTTTCGTAAATTATGTTAATGATGTGATTTTATGAGAAGTACACGCCGGGGTAAAAGCATTTTAAGTTACTATAAAAAGGATCGTTAATATCGATCTGCAATCCAATTTTGTTAATTTTTTTTCCAATTTACTTCGAGCGCAAAATTAAAAGTCGTACATTTTGGCTGATTGGCTAAAACAAAGAGTTAAACAAGAGGAAAAGACATGTTAAATATGAATCAGATTCATTATCAAAATCTGATATATTTCCTCCTAAAGATAAACAAATCCAACGTTACAAAAAAAAAGCACATAACGACTAAAAAAATGGTATTGGATTATTGTCATAAGCTTCAATAAAAAAATAAAAAAAAATTGATTTAATAAAATATTTACAGTAAAATTATTCTTTTTTATAGCATAGTATTGAGTTGACGAAAATCCGCTGTTGAAATTCTGATGGCGATTTTGCACTTTATTCGGCTGCCGAGGTAGTGTGACCAAAACAATGAAGAAATAAGGTAATACTGAACAGCTGTTGTTTGTAAACAAAAAACAAATAAGCAAAAATGAGTTCAAAACGATTGGATGTTGGTGTTGTGTTTATGTATTTCGCCGCTAAGGAGCTGATTAAGAAATATAAAACTGGGTCAAAATCAAAATCAAAATTTTTCGGGCCGACTATTTTTTTGTTTGGTCAATTGACCCTCCATGTCACACCTATAAAAATAAATTGAAATATTTATTTTAACACCCCGAGAGCAGCTGTTTATTTTTTTTGATCCGGCAACACCATTAAAATCGATAACAAAAATTTTCGTCAACTCAGTACCCTCAAAATCTAGAAGGCAAAAATTTCTTCTTCTTTCCTTTTTTACACCGTTTTTTTTATATGGAGTTTGACAGCTGTCACTCGTTGGACAGCGGATTTTCGTCAACTCAGTACTATGCTTAAATAAAAAAAATATGGAAAACGATTTGGGAAAGAGTGTGACGGTTTTTGCTTTTTTTTTTTTTTAAGTAAAAAAAAATAGTTTTCGTCAAAAAATAAAAATAAAAAACGTACATCTACGTGCAATTTTTATACCCTTTAGTCGTAGAATACAGGGGTAAGTTGTATTTATGTAACATAGAAAAGGAAACATTTCCATTTTCCAAAGCCGTGCCCGTCTGTTTGTATGAACGCGTGGATTATAGAGACTGGGGGGCAATAGGCAATATAGAGTGGGGGGCAAACTCTTATTTTCCATAGCACGCGATTTTTCCTTAGGTTCTGGGCGCTGATGTCCCATCTACATATGTACTTTATAATATTTGGTTTGGGCTATCAAATGAGTCAAAATGAAAGCAACTGAGAGAGCTTCCGAGAGTGCAACTGGTAGAGTGCTCACACTGTCAGTGTCAGTGTGAGCACTCTTGAATTTTTTTAGAAGCTCTCCTAATTGCTCTCATTTTGACTCATATGACAGCCGAAACTTAAGCATAGTATTGAGTTGACGAAAATCCGCTGTTGAAATTCTGATAGCGATTTTGCACTTTATTCGGCTGCCGAGGTAGTGTGACCAAAACAATGAAGAAATAAGGTAATATTGAACAGCTGTTGTTTGTAAACAAAAAACAAATAAGCAAAAATGAATTCAAAACGATTGGATGTTGGTGTTTTGTTTATGTATTTCGCCGCTAAGGAGCTGATTAAGAAATAGAAAACTGGGTCAAAATCAAAATCCAAATCAATCACAAATCATTTCAATGCCATTTTATGGCATTAAAATGCCCCTTCGGGACGGCCAAATAAATCTTCCCCAATTTCCTGGATGGAAGTAACTTAATACAAAAAAAAAAAAAAAAAAAATGCCCCTTGTCGGTCAAATCTCATATTATGGGCTTCATCTTGACCGCAGAAATTCATTTTAATTTGTCCTGGCGCGTCGAAAATGTTTCGGGCCGACTATTTTTTTGTTTGGTCAATTGACCCTCCATGTCACACCTATAAAAATAAATTGAAATATTTATTTTAACACCCCGAGAGCAGCTGTTTATTTTTTTTGATCCGGCAACACCATTAAAATCGATAACAAAAATTTTCGTCAACTCAGTACCCGCAAAATCCAGAAGGCAAAAATTTCTTCTTCTTTCCTTTTTTACACCGTTTTTTTTATATGGAGTTTGACAGCTGTCACTCGTTGGACAGCGGATTTTCGTCAACTCAGTACTATGCTTTAAATTCAAAATGATTCCACTGAGAACAATTTACCCAGAAATAGGGTTGGAAAAAGTTTTCTCCATAGAAAATATCGATAGGGAAGAGAAGTTTTTCATTTTTTTTTGAACTTTTGCTAGCAAAGCATTGTTAAAAATAAAATATTCTATTTTAGTGCCCATTCCAACTTTGGAACTAACGAAAAATGAAATAAAAAACTACGTTTTTATACCCTTGCAGAGGGTATTATAATTTTGGTCAAAAGTGTGCAACGCAGTGAAGGAGACATCTCCGACCCTATAAAGTATATATATTCTTGATCAGGATCACCTCCTGAGTTTATATGAGCATGTACGTCTGTCTGTCTGTATGTTTCTACGCAAACTAGTCTCTCAGTTTTAAAGCTATCGTCTTGAAACTTTGCACACACCCTTCTTTCCTTTGCACGCAGTATATAAGTCGGAACGGCCCGGATCGGACGACTATATCCTATAGCTGCCATATAACTGATTGATCGGAACTTTGGTGTTTTTATAGTTAGAGAGTTCAAATTTTAGGTGAGATCTATTTTTGGAAGAGGAAAAAGTATGTATTTCGCCTGGACTGGCAAAATAATACGACATGCCAAATTTCGTAAGGATCGGCCGACTATATTCTATAGCTGCCATATAACTGAACGATCGGAAATGACCCAACTTTCGTTTTTTTACGAAGATAGAAAGCTGGAACTTGGTACATATTATATATTTGGTCAGTTGATCCGACCTACTAAATTTCATTAGGATCGGCCGACTATATCCTATAGCTGCCATATAACTGAACGATCGGAAATGGTATTTGGTAGAAATATCAACTTTCGTATTTTTGAAGATAGAAGTTTGGGACTTTTTTTAGATTTTGTATTGTAATAAATTGCATTATATATTCCTATTCCCATAAGGATCGGCCAACTATATCCGATGTTTGGGATATATATCCGGTTTTAACTGCAAGGGTATATAAACTTCGGCTCCGCCCGAAGTTAGCTTTCCTTTCTTGTTTGCAGGGACTGTAACGGTTATAATTAAAAAAGCAAAAAATTACAAAATAAAAGTTATTTCTTAATTTTTATGAAAAAAATTGATTTTTAATAATTAAAATTAATTTTAATAATAAAAAATTAGTAATAATTATTAAGTATCAATTTTTATATAAAAATTACGCAATAACTTTTATTTTGTAATTTTTATTATATAAATTGAAAAATAAAAATTATTCGATAACTTTTATTTTAAAAATTGAAAATAAAGATTGAATCTATATATCTTTTGATCCGTTGAAAACTTATTACATACATACATATATGTATGTATATATACATACTTATTATATACCATCTGAAAGGTATTGATGTGTTGATCATATATATACATATATATTGGATCTGGCTTCAACGGATCAAAAGATATATAGATTCAATCTTTATTTTCAATTTTTAAAATAAAAGTTATCGAATAATTTTTATTTTTCAATTTATATAATAAAAATTACAAAATAAAAGTTATTGCGTAATTTTTATATAAAAATTGATACTTAATAATTATTACTAATTTTTTATTATTAAAATTAATTTTAATTATTAAAAATCAATTTTTTTCATAAAAATTGAAAAAAAAAATTTATCTTGTTTTTGAATTCGCAATGAAAATTTAACTTATGACAATTTTTTTCAATTTTTTTGGAGACTGTTTTGGGCTTCAATTTTTTTAAACTCATAATCATTATTTACGGTCCCTGCTTGTTTGCTCAGTAAATGCTCTGCTCTCATTGTTTTTCTCTGCTACGCATAAACTCAAATTTTAGACGTGTGTGCGTTTTGCGCCCCACTGATTTAAAGTATGGTCATATGTATATCGATAAGACTATTAGTTTGTGAAAATCGGCCTTACAAAAAATCGAACCTTATTTGACACGCATGGAAACTTCTGATCGATACCAGGAATTGTTTCAAATGAAACCTCAAGCGTGAGGTGATATGGATCCTGTGGAGGTGAAAGGGGCAAAGCTCTGGAAAGAGTGATACCATCAGGATCAGTTTCAAAACATATATCTAAAAGCCGACCTAATGAATTTCTAACATGGCTTATTTTCCCTAGGGACATGTCAAACATGCCTGCGGTGAAATCATGGTGCGTGATAAGTGCTTATGATGGTGAGTTATCATAAGATTTAAACGGATTGAATAGCAGACAAATGATGCCAGTGTGTGCGCGGTTCAGACGAAGATGGTATATATGAACCGGTACATATAAAGCAGGGGTGCCCAGCAGCGAGGTGCTCCTTTGTTGTTTGAATTTCTCTTTCATTTGGGATATGAAATTTCATATACGTTTCTGACTCCCAGCATAGGCAAAAGGCAATTACAATAACAATCGTGTGTTTTTCGTGTTTTCCCTATTCTCCTGTACCGTGCTAATCCGAATGCATTTTGTTTTTGGAGTGCCGAAAAATTTTCGCTGCAAGGAAACCATTCTTGTTTTTGTTTTTTTGCCAAAATGGTCAAACTGAAGCGAAACATTACTTCTTCGCAGAACATTTTGTTTAACTAAGAAGCGCTGCATTATTTGTCATAGTATAATAATAAGCTTTTGTAAAACCTGGAGGTCCTTTTTTTAATTGCTATAGTAAAATGTATTTTTTATTATACATATTGATTGTTTTACTATACTAATGTTTTAATAATGCTACTTTAATTTTTATTTTTCATGGATGGGGAAAAAAAATGTTCGCACCTATGTAATGCTGATTTTTTGCTTTGGTATGGGAGTTTGCTCTGCCGTATGCTAGATTAAAGCATGCTAGGCACAAATAAAGATTTGTAGATTGTGGAATACCCTATATCCTTGGACCTGTGTTATCATTTAAAGGGATGCCACGGAGGACATATCGGACAATTGCTCATTTGCACTGACAAATTCGGGCGGTGAATTGTTCTCAGTTCTAGCCCTTGGGGTGGCCAGAGATGAGAGCGGCTGCGTAAATGTCGGCTGAGCAGATCACAAACAGCGGAATTCGTATTAATTTTACGAAAACCAGTGATCAACTTTTTAAATGCACTCTTAGTCTGTCTCATGCGCGACCTCATTTCGTCTTGGACAGCTCGACAATTATCACAAAAATAATGTACGGTAAATGGCATCCGAAACTAAGGC